CATTTGAAACGAGTAATATTGACTATTATGCTTAGTGGCTGTTCATTATCGTCATGAGGTCCTCCTGTTTAAGATGCTTCTTCTTCTTCCTAACGTTGTCCCGCTTGTGCAGAGTCCGTTCTTCGGATCGAAAGTCGCCACTTCGCTCGATCTAGTGCACCTTCTGTAGAGAGGGTCACCTTTCTCAAGTCCGCATTTATGGTGTCCAGCCAGCGTTGTTTTGGTCTTCCTCTCGGACGGTGACCGTCTACTTCGAATGCAATAGAAGCGACGATCACGCTCAGCTAGCAAAACATGGCCATACCACTGGAGTCTCTCCCTTGCATCGTCTCGGCGATTGGTGCGACACCCATTTGGCATCGAATCACGTCGCTACTGATTCTGTCGAGTCGTGTAGGGCCCATTGACAACAGCAGCATTCGCATTTCCATAGCGTTGAGTTGGCGCTCGGCACTTTTGGTAGCTGGCCAGCATTCGGATCCGTACAGTGCCACGGGTCGAACCGTGGTCCGGTATATCTTTGACTTGAGGCGAAGAGGCATGCGCCTATCACATAGCACCCCAGTAACTTCTCTCCATCTCAACCATGGCGCACTGACTCTCATTCGAACCTCATCATCAACACCACATCCGCTTTGTAGGTGGGATCCTTGGTACCTGAAAGACGTCGTTTTCGTTAAGTCTTCGCCTTCGGTCATTCCATGCTTGCACGTGACGCTGCAATTCCTCTCTATTGACATCCGCTAGAAGAACATCGTCAGCATAGAGCAAAGTCCATGGCAGCGTGTTGCAGATCTCGGTGAGTGTGTCCATGATGAGGATAAACAGCTTTGGCGACAGGGCCGAACCATGGTGAACTCCAACCTTTATTGGAAAGCTCTTCGATAAACCCGCATACATCGTACTCGACTGGTGGTGTTCCTATACAGCATTCGAATCCAGCTGATAAGTGCTTTAGGCTCTCCATGCTCACGTAGAGTATAAAAGATTAGTTGGTGGGGCACGCGATCGTAAGCTTTCTCGAGGTCCAAGAGAACCATATGGTTTCCGTTTCTCCCTATGCTTCTCCATGAGTGAGCAAGCGGCATATATTTCAACCGTTGTTCCTCGTCCTTTCACAAAGCCGCACTGGTTTTTGCTCAAATCAATCATGTCGCGTAACCGCTGATCAAGGATTCTCTCGAAGATCTTCATGGTGTGCGAAAGTAAGCGAATGAGGCGGTAATTGGAACATGGTCGGGTCTCCTTTGTTTTTGAAGATGGGCACGATAATGTTCGTAGCCCATTCACTAGGTGCACGGCCTGAATCAACGGCTGCATTCAGAAATTGCGTGAGCCACGGATCACCTTTCTGTCGTAGCTCCTTCATTTTCCAGACCTCCGCCGGTATGTTATCTGGTCCTGGCGCTTTCTTGTTCTTCATGCTGTCGATCGCCTTGGTAAGCTCCTCGATTGTTATAGGCTGTACGGGACCGACGGATTAGCAGATCTTCTGAAATTGGCGGATGTGCAAAATCCACGTTGGAAATTTCGTTAAACTGTTGCCACCAGCGTGCAGTATCTTTCGTTTACTGTGCATCCGCTCTCCATTCGTGCACATATAGTGCTCAACGTCCTTTCGCCAATCTGTAGATGTTTTTCTCACCCTCCTTGGTACCTAGCTGCTCGTATAGGCCCCGAAAATGCCCCCCTTTTACTTTTGCTACGAATCTCTTCGCCTCTCGTCTAGCGATAGTATACTTCCTCCAGTTCTCGGCAGTACTATGGTGAGCCAGGTTTTGTAAGCAGTCTTCTTTTCCATTACTTTCTGCTTCACTTCGGCCGGCCACAGCCATGTTGGCTTGTAAATAAGTCGACTAGGTTTTGTAGTTCCTAGAGCCGATTTAACAGCAATTAAAACGGGTCCACTGAACGTTTCTCACAAGTCGTTGACCGTCCTGTCATCGACTGGAGGTAAGCTGCACTGCGGTGTCGCTTCTACGCTTGGTAATCTTCGTAGAGCATCTTGTGCTGTGGTGCCAGGCAATCCGACGGGATGACCTTCGCATCAGTGATGACAGGAAGATCTCGCCTGCGTAGCAACACGAAGTCTATTTGTTCTGCCCACCGCTTGCGTATGTAACAAAATGGCTTTCGCGCTTCTTGAAGAATGTGTTGCAGATGACAAGAACGTTAGCCTCAGCAAACTCCAAGATACGTCGTCCGTCTTCGTTGCGTGTCCCGTAGCCTTTGTTGCCGTGACAGCTATAACCACTCTGAGCGCTACCAACATTGCCATTTAGGTCGCCACAAAGCAGGATTACTTCGCTCTCGGACTGCTCTTCGACTGCTGCAATACAATTCTGTAGTTCGGCCCAAAATCGCTCCTTTTCCACGTCTTCACATCCGTTTTGTGGGGCGCAGGCTGAAAACACACAAAGACGACGGGTTGCTACGTTGTTTGAAGCAGATATGAGCCTATCTAAATGACGTCTTATTTCTGCGACATGGCTTCGCAGCTCGGTACTAACGATAATAGCCACGCCTTTGCTGTTGGTCTCGCCATAGTAGCTCAGCTTGTAACCTTCGCCAATGTCGCGGGACTTTTGTCCCTTCCACCGCGTCTCCTGAATGCAAGCTATGTCCACTCTGCGCCTTTTCAACATTTCGGCCAGTTCGCTGCTGCGTCCGTTAAGTGTGCCAATGTTCAACGTGGCAATGCGCAGCAGTCTCACATAGGCTATCTTCTTTAGCCAAATCGGCCCTTGAACCGGTAGCACGGTGGTCGGGCGAACCCACCACGCGTCGCCTCCGGGGGACGCCCTGGCATTGTTTATTGAAGTAGTGCTTCAATCCATAGTTTCGACTCAATGTTACCAGCCGACCTGCCGCGAGGGTTTGACGCTGGTGTCCGCGTTCGGCTCAGCACCATCCTAGCGGATGGGCAGTCTCCAGCAGTACTTTCCGCATGTTGTACATGAAGGTAGAGTCAGGCCTTCCTAACACACTGGTAATAGCATTTCTAGCGAGAGTAAGATTCCTAGAAGGTTACTTGCTTGGTTTGGTGGATTCAGATTTCCCTCAATAATGCGATCGTTTATTTCAGTTGGAATGTTGAGAAATTTTCATGAGAGGATGTCCTGCAGGAATTTAGACGAAACTCTAGACATCTAGGATGTCACATCTGGATACAGAGCGGTATCTACTAGGACCCTGCCTGGAGACAAATTTCTGGGAACGGCACCTGCCGGTAAATAAGCTATGGAAAAGAGCAAAAACTGATGGATGAATGTATCACTTTGCGGCGGTTGCGGATGGTCGCTCTTCAAAAACCACGAAAAAAGGCCTCCGTTTTTGAAGATGAAAATCAGTCTCGGAATTCAATTTCACATTTGGTCACTTGTACTCGACTCGTTTTCTTATTGAAGAATTTTCATGAGAATTTTGTGAGTTTGATTTTTCCAGAATCTTCATTATGATGATACCAGTCGCATCGCACGGCTAACGCCGTGCTCTCCTCCTTCTCTTGAGCTCGGCTTCGCCGAGCTGGCCTGGCTTTGCCAGGCGGCTCCATAATTTTAATGGAACTTTTTCGGTAGTGCACTGCTCATAAGGCGCTGTAGTGATCGAATCGTAACAGACAGAGCAAGGCTTAGGATCCAGGCTTAGGATTACGCACAACTCAGCACGCGCTTCTATTTACAGCGGCGGTGTAGTCCGCGCCATGACGCCCATAGAATACATAAATGATCCGCCTTGTGGTGGAAGTGTTTTTCGGTTCTCTCGAATTTCCCTGAGATTCCTGTATACCCCCCACTACATACCCCCCCGCCCCCCGCTCGTCGACATCGACATTATATAGTAGGATGAGTTCATTCTCTGGGGCTATCAGGGAAGTGATGGCTAAAGGAAATTATGCACACTGAGCCTCTGATACTTGGGGGTATAGTGATAAGAGCAGAGGTAGTGACAATGGCCCCTTATCCTTTCTCATCAATTGATAAGATCCTGTCACCGGTCATCAATGTCCCTATTACTAAAACTCTATAATTTGGTAGTGTAAAGGCTCCAGCAATTTGACTGAACAGCATTGGCGACCTTCTTTATCAGCCCCTATCAGCGTGTTATCACCTCACGTGCCGTGTCCCCATCTCCAACTCTATATCATTTACTGAAATTAATGCCCAGTTGATGCTGTGTTCCCACGTTATGGGTATGGCGACCTTACCATTCTGACTCTCCTTTATCAAATATCCTATCAGCTGTTATCATTCCCTGTCACCCATCAATAATGTTCCTGTCCCACGTCCTATATCATACCTTGGAACCAATGTCCCACTGTTACTGTGTCCCGCACTATGGGCTCGGTCACCCTCCCCTTCTAACTCCCCTTATCGAATCCTATCAGCTGCTATCATTCCCTGTCACCCATCAATAATGTTCCTGTCCCAGGTCCTATATCATACCTTGGAACCAATGTCCCACTGTTACTGTGTCCCACACTATGGGCTCGCTCACCCTCCCTTTCTAAGGCCCCTTGTCGAATTTTATCAGGTGCTATCACATTCTATCACCCACCAAAAGTGTTCCCGTCCTGCCATGTATGTCACTCCTTGGAACTGTCGTCCTATCTTTTCTGCGACGCTCGCTATGAATTTCGTGACACACAGACAGACGCACACACAAACATACACACACTTACAGACATACTTAGCCGATTATATAGAGTAGGATGACTATCATTATGTCACGGATGATATATGTGTAAATTACATAAAATGTTTGACATTGCTCGATTCGTTTCAATTTCACGCATTCGGCTTGAACTTAATAAAGTCCACGTATGGGGGTGACTTCAGCCGCAAAAGTGTTTTCAAAGCCCAGATTGTCAGAAGCACTTCTGTCAGTCAATCTGGTCTGTAGTAGTTCGATAGATGCGGAACTCTGAAGAGTGGGTGGGCGCTTTCTACATAGCTTTCGTTTCTCATTGAACGAATATAAATTCCCGTTTCCGATGGTAGTCACAAAACCTCATGACTTAGTAGTTTCTTGAAATCCGGTTTTCCAAGGTAATAGTACACTCCTTCAGAAGCGCCTTCTAATGTGATTCCGCGGACGAATAGTATTACAATCATAATGTAAGGAACCGTTGATGTTACCTGTAAGCAAAGCCTAGAATATCAAAGCCGTTACCAAGTGGAAGGCGATTAACTTACATAAGAAACTTTTCCCATATACTCGTAGCCTTTAACCAAAATCATCACTACAAGTGCCCACATCACTCCCAATGCTGTTAGCGTCGACCAATTTATCTCGCCGATATGATCGATTCCGTTCGAACTTTTCGTTATTACATTCCTTCAAATGTACAGCATGAGACCATTCTTCCTGTTGTAGAGAGAGCAAGAAGGCAGCGCTAGGAGCTGCAATACCGCTCCTAATTTGTGGTTGATGGTTAGAGACAGATTTTTCCGTCACAAACCGTTGTTTTTCCATAACTCGCACAGAAATGGTCCAAATTGCTTGCAAATCAATATATAGCTGTAACCACGGCGAGTCTAACGATCTATAAAAAGTTCAATTTCGTTAAGTTTTTGCCTTGTTTCGGACAAATTCCACTACTGAGTCTCCAGTTACATCAGGTGGTACTTGAGGAGATGAAAGCGTCGTACCCTGCAGTCCAACTGCAATCTGAGGGCTTCAAAGTCATGAATACCAAGGGCATTTCCGTGATCACTTTGACACTGGCTTTGTTAAAATTTCAGCAAAACTCAGTGTGAAAGGAAGGAAACCACACAATATTCTCAAATTGAGTCCTTCTTGCAGACGTATCTTCCCCGAGACTAAAACCATTTTTCAAATCTCAGTTCTTCCGACTTCTCGATTCATCGTCCTTTTTCTGGACCGCATTATGCATTTCAGCCCAAACTCAAGGGAATGATAGACGGACGCTATTTCAAGATTTTTTTTCCAATTTCGGACCTTTCTTTCTTAGTGAGGAGGCGGTGACATAGCTAAAGGGCTGTGGACCCGTTTTAGTGTTACATAGAAACCTTAATGTGTGCTGCGTTACAAGCAGGCGACCTTCCCGCAATATAGCCCTAAACATCGGTGTTTGGCCTCACCTGATGTGACAATCACATTTCTTCCATTTTTGAGTTCGCACATCATCACAGCACATTGAGAAAGCACGAAGGCAAGGGAGTATTTCAATTAACAATTGCTGTAGTTCCATATAAACGGGGCGGACCGCTTCAAAGTCTCTTCTTTGCTTGCTGCGATGCAAGATCTTCTACTTCGCTACATTTCCTAAGAATATGGGAAGTGGCCGAATTTATGGAAGCCTATTGAAACTCATACGGTTGTACTGTGCAAGAAAGTGCACGCAAAGATATAAAAATCATGCCATTCCGATCAGAGAATCAGAGAATCTCATACCATTAGAAACAGCTCGTCGAACCCATGAAGCATTCTAGGTATGTGTACTCATGCCTGCTAAAGTACCTAAGGTGACCAATTAGCGAGCGCCGCCCATCGTAATTGCAATCGGAGGGGGACGTGTCCCGCTGAAGGCACTTATCTTAGCATATTATGATGCTACTATTTTGCACGGAAAATTTTTTTGTGAAGTTTATCTCTCCTCAATGGTACCAGTCAATTCGAGTTCGGTTTCCACACATATTGTTGGACGGCTCTATAGCAATTTTTGAAGTTTCTTATGCGACAATCCTTTTCAAGGTGAAGTAACATGTGGATAATGTGCCAGCTCAAAAATGGAAAAAATGTATAAAGAAATGTATGTAATGATTATCACATCAGAGGAGGAAAACACCGATGTTTAGGGCCGTGTTGCGGAAAGGTCGCCTGCTTGTAACGGAGCATACAACCAGGTCTCTATGTGTTGCCAATCCGGGTCCACGTCCCTTCAGCGATTTCACCTCCTCGTCGAAAGAAAATCTTGAAATTGGGTTCTTCTATCACTTCCGTGAGTTTGTGCTGAAATGCATAATGCGGTCCAGAAAGTATGCGATGATTCCGAAAGTCGGAAGTAATGAGATTCCAAGAATGGTTTTCGTCTCGAGGAAGATAGCAAGATGGAGTCAAATTCAGAATATTGTGTGGGTTTTGCCCTCACTTCGCATTGAGTTTTGCTGAAACCTTAACAAAGCCACTATCAAAATGATCACGGAAATGCGGTTGCTATTTATAACTTTGAGGCCTTCATAGTCGGATTGAGTCTCGCAATCGGACTGGAGGGTTTGTGACGCTTTCATCTCCTCAAGTACCACCTGATGTAACTGGGGACTCAGTAGTGGAATTTGTCCGAAACAAGGCAAACAAACTTAACGAAATTGTGCGTTTCATAGGTCATCAGACTCAATTCGTCGTGATCACAGCTATCCATTGGTATAATTTCCAAGCAGTTTGGACCATTTCTGTGCAAGTTATGGAAAAACGACAGTTTGTGACGGAAAAATCTGTCGCAAACCACAAATTAGGAGCGGAATTGTAGAAGACTGGCGCAGATTCCCTCGAAAGAGAATGGCGTATCTGTTGACCCCAATGTACAGTACGATCAATGAGCGTTCTGGAATGATACCCAGTTTTATAATGTACGTCCACGTAGCACTGCGGTTGAGCATCACTATAAACGATCGAGGTTCGGCGCTGATTATACTTGAGTAATGTGTCATGCACTGATTGTACGTTTCTGTTATGTATCACATTTCACTACGGATTTGAGCGGCACAAAAGCTTCTTTTGTTGTCAATAGTCACTGCTATGAAATTGCTTGCTTGGGGAGAAAAATTTGATTGGTTGAGGCGGAGTGCGACCTACCGGCGCACCTGTGATATGTAGGTGTGGAACCTTAATCCAAGTAGCGGCAGAAATGCTCTGCCGGTGTACTTCCTGTATGCTTGGCTTGACAGACATAGTCACACGGAGAACTAGTCAAAATAAACCTACCTTTCCCCATCTTTAACTCCCTTGGCACCTCATGCAGGAGCGATAATGTGTTCAGGGGTGAAAGTACCCCTGGAACAAGTTTTCAGGATTGAGCGACTATCCAGGCGCCGGCGCCGAGGCGAGGCACATCAGGCCAAGCGTTATGATGCACGTGTTCAGGAGGTTGAACTATCTCCAGGACCGAATGTTCAGCCGAATTCGCCCTCGTGGAAAAAGGCGGTGAAATACTGGCTTGATTTCGGAAGACTGGGTAGTATGTTGAACAGTGCCGGATTTAGTATTGAGTCGGGTATCATTATCTACAGCTATTACTGACCAGTCTAAATCAATAATTTAGCTAGTTTCAAGAGATATAGTGTTGCCTGTACTCCAAAGGAATGTTTGTTCAACTTCTCCTACGCGACCAAGTGGTTTCTGGAGTTTTTTTTCAGCCTTATATCCTCAGAGAAGTAGATTGGTTATTTATCTCGCTAATGAACAGCTACCATTCATACGCTTGCAATTATTGCAACCTGTTCTGAATCAATTGTGCAGTTAGTGTGCACTCCGTTGATTCTTCACTTTAGTTCCATTTACATTTGAGTAAAAATTGGCATTTTATCGAGATGCTACTCCTTGAAGTGCATTCCAAACTAAGAAACTTTCTTGATCTACCACAATAGAGGAGCCCGCGTTTAGTGAAGCAGCAGTTACCCTACAAACGGTGCAACAGCTCTTTTCTAGGCGCAGTAATACATACGCTGCAGGAATGTCACATCTTAATAGTACATGCCTATCGTTCGACAACAGAGCTAGCATCACCAGCAGATATTTCAGCTGCTGAAAGGCCCCGCGGGGCAGCGATCTAAGTCCGTCCCATTGGTTGCTTCTGCTCTAAAAGCTCCTTCAAGTTCGGCTGCAGCGACCCTTTCCAGGCTCAACCTGCAAAAACAAATTGATGGCAACAGCATTGCTTGTGTTATGAATGTGCCCGCGTCAATCCTAGAATCAACGTATCTTCACTTCAGAGTCATGGATTGTTCAACGAATTTAATGCAGCGAAACGAGCTGTTAGTCGTAGCTGATAAGGATCTTGGCAATACCTCGACCAACACACCAAGGTGGAGCAGTGGGAAATCTCTGCTCCGGTATTGGCGAGGATGGGTGGAAGAAGGACCGCAAAGAATCAACGAAGAAATTGGATGGAATCGCCCCGTATCTAGCAGGCACTTTCCAATCATCTGGCAAGGAAGAGCGACCTGAGCCCTCGCTACGCTACATCCCTCGACATATGCTTCAAGAGCCTCTTTAGCGGTTTTAATCCAGGACATCAGAAGGTTTCTTTCCAGCCCGCCCATAGCTTCCGCTCTGCAAGACCCGAGTCAACCGAAGGAAAATTGGGCACCTGCAATCACAATATATACAGATTAGGAAAAGAGAGTTTTTATTGGTATATCCGCAACACACTTCTGGCAGAATTTCAGTCTTTTGGATCTGACACGCTCAATTCTTCAGCATGGATTTCCGCCTACTGTTTTGTTCAACCAAAACTGAGCTTCGTTAAGGCAAATCCTACCATGACATCATATCAAAATTCCAAAGTTGTAAATTCAAGGATGGCTGGACTGATTGCCATTTACGCAATTTATGGAATTCAACACCCTAGCGGCAGGAGTCTAACTCTAACGGTAGCAGATGGTAAGAAATTAAGATTAATTCTGGCTTTATCCATGCTAAACAAAAGTTTAGCACTGATACCACCAATAACGAAACTAATCTTTAACAAATTTTAAAGACATGGCGGACGTGGTACCGTTGCTCTCGAGGGGTGGCTACACGGGCTTTCTCCACAACTGTTCGCTATTTTAGCCAATCTGAAAGCTTTCGCCACTCGCATAGATTTCAGCAATGTCTTTAATCAAGATGGCCAGTGTTCTCTGCGTGTCTTCGAGAAGAGACGGATAATGCATCCATATTTGATTCCAATGAATGGGGAAGTTCCGATGACGTGACGGCAGAAATCAAGAGATCATGGGAAAATTTTGGTGGCTTTGTTAGCAAGTACTGGTGGCTTTGCCCACAAGGCTTCCACCTGTTTCAATGGTTCTTCTAGAGAGCTTAGTGCTGTAGGTGTTCAATTTTGGCTAGACCGCATTGCAGCAGGTGTTTCGGAGTACTCTTCCAACATATTTTGTTTTTCCTGTTGTTAGTAGGTGATGGATGGATTCCGGAAATGTGAGATGTGATGATTTTACTGATTTTGCCGCGCTAGGACGGGTCCTGGAGGGATAGGGACGCTAGGGAGTAGAGCAGT